ATGGAAAATCACACATCCATTTTATAGCTAGGTAAAGCATCTATTTCTATGGGCCATCATTTTCCATGGCTATGTACTAGTCATAACCAGAGGGTATAACGAATTTTTATGGCCATAACATCCATAACTGTAGAAATATAGATTTCCCATAGATTTCCCATAGATTTCCCATAGATTTCCCATGTAGAAATATAGATTTCCCATAGGTTTTTTCTGCTTTCCCATAGAAATCAACCAACCATAGGGCCTTTCCCCATGTACCCGCGGCCTGGGCCACCTCCTGGTAGCGGTCCAGCATGTTGGACATGCCCTGACACATCTTCTGCACGGCACCTGTGAGGGGAAATTTGCTGGTCAAGTCCTAGGAAAATTAAAAAAAACTTGAGGAAAACTGAGGAAAAATATGAAAAATCCATGTTGGTGGTGGTTGATGACAGTTGGAGCAGTTCGCCAAGTTTTCGAATACTAAATCTATCATCCCCATATTCTCCGGGTTCATAGTGATCCGCATCGTTCCTGAGAAATCCTGAGAAAAATACTTCAGAAGCTAGGTTTGGCCAAATACTTCAGTGATACTTGGAGGCATTTCAACATGAACCTCTGGAAATTTAATAAATTTAAGAGTTTGCTGTGGATAATCACAATGTTTTTTACGGGTAAGTCATCTAAGAATTGGTCATCTATACCATAGCTATGCAAAGCAAATTACCAGAAGCAGCCCACCTACCACGAGGACAGAGACTGGTCCATGAGCCACTGGTCACATTTTACGAAAGAACACATAACATAATAAGCATCCGCATTGTATTGGATATGGCAGATCTCCTAAAAATCATACATCACTAGCTCTACTGATAGAAAATTGGTGAAGTCTGATTTGGCACCGGCCGCCTGTGAGTGGAGGAAATACGTCCATGAGAGCGTTCCTCAACGGTCAGCTCCAAGGGTGAAACATGCGGCGGAATGACAGTAGACTCCCAGACTTGCTACTTGTTAACTACTGTAATGCTGTATAATCAAAAATATGTTATCAGCTGTTCACATATAATTTTATTTCATTTAATTTCGTGTCATTTCATGTTTCATTTCAATGTTCATTTCATTTCAGTTCATGTATCATTTACATTCCATCACATATCGCATCATACATCATATATTGTATATCATACATCGTATATCATATATTGTATATCATATGCCCTATCTCCTTTCAAACTCACAAAAACATCACATCATATCCATAACATCTTATATCTACATCTACATATCGTATCATAATATATATAATACATATAATATAATATAATATAATATGATATAATATAATATGGTATGATATAATATAATACAATATAATATGGTATAATATAATATAATATAATATGGTATGATATAATATAATATAATATATTGTAATATAATATAATATAATATGATATAATATAATATAATATGATATAATATAATATAATATATAATATAATATATTATTATAGATAATTATAATATATTATAATATATTATATTATAGATAATTATATATATAGTTATATTTATATTTATATATCGTACCATATCATGCCATACCATGGCAATTTTCAATTTATCAATCTATCTATGTATCCCCTAATGATTGGCTCCTCCATCGTCATCAGCCGATGAATCCCCATGAAACGGACCGTGATTTCACCAATGATTTCGGCGGACCAGTTCAGCAACTGTCAGTACTCTGACTAGGGTTTTCATGACCATATTATACATTATTATACTATATTATATGACATTATATGAGATATATGAGTTTGTCTGAAAAGGGAACATGTTGAAAATCTGTAATCAGCGTTTTCCCTATATATGGCCATTTCATTTCGGGGTTTCTGGTATACCCAATCTTCAAACAAACCCATATTATCAATTGCTAGCCCCATTTTGTGTGGCAAAAAAAAAACTCCCCAGCTTGACATCTTCGAATCTCTTCGATCAAGCATCAATGGCTCCTCTCTGAGCTGCCGATGAGCCGCCTAGCTTTGGCGGATTTCACCAACCAAAATGGTGAGTTCATCCGCAAAAATGATGAGTTTCACCAGCAAAAACTGTGATTTCAGAGGCAAAAATCATGAGAAAAATGAAACATGAACAAATGAGTCAATGGGTTGGCTTCAGTGAATATCTATAGAAAACTGCCTGCTGTTTACCATCAAACATGGCACTTTCCTCTACAATTTCCAAATTTATTCTTCATCCAATTCTTAGAACAAGAATTCTGCAATTTAAGAACAAACAATAAATCTGAACACATACAGCGCTTCAAGATGATCCTCCGCTCGTTCCATAAACCTCCTCTGTCAGCCACCGAACTCATTCCAGCAACCAACTATATATAAGAAAATGTGGTTTCAGTAACTTCACATTTGACTTTCCAGCTTGAAAACATGAACAACCTGCAAAAAACCTGCAGTTTTCCACCAAACCACACGAAACCGGACGTGGCACCTTTTCCTGAACCCCCCCCTCCGGCCGATCAACGGCCGTTGTCAACGGCTCCGGCCGGGTCCACCGGCCCACCGTCCCACCGTCCGGTTCCACGCCACGAATCGGAGACTTTGCCGACCGCGGTCGCATCACAGGAAGTCTGGATAAAATATGATGGAAATTATGACTTATACCATCTGATGGATTAGTTACCTACTATTACCGGTATCTACTATTACTATCAGAAATGATAGATTATATCCATCTGACTCACCTAAAATGTTGGATTAGTTATGATTAGTTACCCCCAAAAAAACACCATTACTGACCATGATTTCAGGGGTTCGCAGTGAGGTGATAATTTATCCAGATGAATTGGATGCACCTACTGCGCGGGGGGCGGCCCTATGGTCCATCATGTGGATGCCAGATCGAATGATCAGGGAACTTTTTGAGATTGTTTTTGCGCACAAAAACCAACCCACCTTTTTGTTGTATGGTTTCATTATATTAAATGATGTTAACCATCATAGTGGAATATAGTGGATAATCATGGATCATCACCAAAAATGGTAAGTTGCAAGCTTTAGGGTCGCCCCACAGATGGATGGGACCTGTTTTCGGTCATCCATCCGTCGTAAAATTTCAGAGGGCGCTTTGTGCCCTGACCGACTGCAGCGCTGCGACGGAATGGCAGTAAACTGGTCCAATGGGATGTACCCGGCCTGGTAAACTTTCACATAACTATGGAAAATGGTGATTTATAGTGGATTTACCCATTGAGAATGGTGATTTTCCATACATAACTGATGGGAAAATCACCATGCTATTAATGGGAAAATCCACTATGTCGACTGGCCACGGCTTCAAGTTCGCAAACTCTAAACCTTCACCAATGGGATGTAACCAACAGCATTGGATGACGACGCTAGCCGCGTGATATATAGTGAATCTTAGAATCAAGCAACGGGGACTACTGCTGCTGCTATTTCATGGTGATGTCCAAATATTGATGAAAATTGCCGCCGAAACTGTCTAGATGCTGTAGTGTATGTTGCTTTGTTTCAAAGTGTGGTATCCCAAGACAAATCCAGGTTCTCCCCTTTCTTGAGCATCACCTGTCTGATGACCCTGAACTTCAAAATGATCATGCTGATGCAGAAGATTGCAGAAGGGTTTGTTAATCATTTCCTAGGCGAGTTGTCTATAGGATTCTATAGGGTGTGTCTTAACTTGTCAAACCTAAAAAACCACTGGCTGGCTCGCTGGGTCACATTTGGGGATTTGGTGCTTGGCTCTCCCGTACATCGAAAAAGAACTTGTAGAAAAATGGCTCGCGGGTTGTAAATCCAATTGTAATGGGAATCCTTATACTGGGTATATACTCCTCTACTAATGGACTTCCTGACCATCGCCTAATACAGGAAAGCCAAGTTTTGACAATGGTACATCTGATCAATATTCTAGCAGACTCACTAAGTTGTGCATGTTGTAGGTATGGGTTATGAATATGGATAGTTTATGGATGGTTGATGAATTTTCAACCAGCCACTTCTGCAGGGCAGGAAATCTTCTTCAGCCACCGAATTTCGCCAGCCACTTTTGCGGCCATTCTGCAAGCTACGACTAGAATTGGATGCAGGACCCGGGCATCGAGACAGTGGTGATCTTTGTTCCCAAAAAGTGGGATGTTATATGGTGATAAACCACATTTATGAGGTGGAAAATAATAGAAAATCACCAGATTGCACAGTTAGATTAAATGGTTGAACATCTGGTGATTTTCCACTGAATAACTGGGATGCACATCCAAGTACGGAACGACACAAGATTAAAAAAGAAACGATGCTGCCAAACCATGGGAAGCTAAAAAAAATTGGTTGGTTCCGACTCCAAGATCAAACCGCAAATAATTATATATGTGTTGTCATATTAAATAGGTTTATATATAGAAAATCATATATATATAATTATATATATATATTAGCATGTAATTATTAGCTATATATCAAATGTAATTAGATAGAACATGATAGAACAGTATTCCCAAAGGTTGCAAATGATCTTTACCTCGTAATTTGGAGGTTTGAAAACTTGTGCATCTATGTCGGGGCTGCATTCAGGTCAGTGCCAAAATGTTCCATCTTGGTGAACTGCCGCGCCAAGTTGTTGAACAGAACATGTAGAGTGAAAAGAAGTATAAAGACACACCGGATCATATTCATTAGGTCAACAGGTTTCTTTCCCAGAATTCTATGATCGGAAATTCTGCAGGAAAAACACCCAAAAGAAATTGAGAAAAAACGATGGTTTCCTGTACAATCTTCCAATCTTCCTTAAACCAATCAAGCGATACCGGATTTTCATGGACTTTCCATATTCATATTTTCCCACATTAAATATCATTGAATTCCATGTTTGATGGTTACCCTCTGGTAAACTAACATAACTGATGATGGGAAAATCATCATATTTAATGGTAAAATCCACTATAAATGGTCATTTTCAATAGCTATGTTAGTCATTACCAGAGGGTAAATCATGTTAAATCCGATATGGATCATCCTCGATGCCAAGGATTTTGTTGCCGTGGCACCGCCATCACCGCAGCTTGGACTGCAGTTTCACATCCTGGCGAAACTGCGTTGACGCAGCGTTGATCGGGTTTAGGCACAAAGTCATATCATAGTTACAAGGGGGTTTTACTGAAAGTTCACATGGGGTAAATAACACGCTTCATACATATATATTATATATTATGTATAGTATATATATATGCTAATAAGTTTTAATATCATTTAATATTAATTGTCATTGATAATGGGATTCATATGGATAACCTAACCGGCCCCATTGATGGAAGTTTGTTACATAGCTATGGTATAGAAATTGCCCATTGAGTTCGATGATGTACCCGGTCAGCCTGTGGTTTCACTCGTGCGACTGAGGGATCCTGCAGCAAGGTGCAGCGGTAGTGATGGGTCCAACAGCAACAACAAGAACAACAACAACAACTACTACTACTACTACTACAAGTACAAAAGCGACAACTACCACTACACTACAACGACAACTATAATTAGACCTTCACTACACTACTTACTAAGCAGGTTCCCATCATTGGATTCCCAGGATTCAATCCCACTTTTCCAGCGGGGCCAGCGCTGGGCAAACGAGACTCACGACTTGGGGTTTATTCCTATGGTAAACATACAAAGACCTATGGAAACTCACCATTTTTGATAGGTAAATCAACTATTTCTTTGGCCATTTTCAATAGCAAACTGTTGGTTTACCAGAGGGTATTCCTATTCCAACTTAGTAACTTAAGTGTTCTCAGTGCGTTAGAAATCTCATGTCACCGGTAGGTTACGTATGAAGAATCCCAATACTAAGCTTTGCTACCGACACGTGGGATTCTTCATGGGTAGAATCGCACCACCGCAGAAAATCTCAGGGCATTCAAGGGTGTGCTTGCAGTCATGTTCATGAAACAGCCAGGGGATTACCCTCCGGTAAACTAACATAACCATGAAAAATCACCATGTTTAATGGATAAATCCACTATAACTGGACCATTTTTAATAGCTATGTTAGTCATTACCAGGGGATTCAATGAGTCAAAGAACAACTGGTGGTTTCTTCCAATGGGTGACCCATGGTGACCTGAAAAAATCCATGACTTTTCCACATTTTTCCATGACTCATGTTGGATAGTCCAAGGGGCAGCTCCCTCTTGGGTGACTTTGTCACTCATCATGTGCTTTGGCTTCGGAGGCCTTGGTTTAAAGGTGAAGTGGGAGATGACCAGCAAATAGGGAGATCACCGGAAAAGAAAAGTCTTGGAATCATCGACCCTCTGGTAAACATACAAAAAACTATGGAAAATCACCATGCTATTAATGGGTAAATCCACTATAAATGGCAATTTTCAATAGCAAACTGTTACTTTACCAGAGGGTAATCTAGAGTGGATTTTCTGAGTGGTTGAGGTACCTGTGAAATGGAGGAGTACTTTACTAAGGACCTACTTTGCAGATCATTAACGAAGCCATGGGGAGAGTCATCGACACTTCGGGACCAACGGTGGCGTCATCGCTGTAGATCCGGCTTTGGGATGCCATCTTCATTGAAACCAGTGGGGGCCACGCCATTTTTGGGCCCCAACTTTTTCGAAAAAACTGAAAAAGTCTCTGTTGTACAAATATAAGCCACCACTACCCCTCAACTTGGATCGGTAGCTTCAAATAAAAAAGAACGACACAGTTCGCAAGCCTCTTCTTTTTCCAACCCATTGACTGTTTTTTGTGCTTCAAAGCCCAATTTGGCTTAAAACTCCATCAGGTGCTGAAATTCTGTGGGCCCCGGCGGCTGAATCTTGGGCTTCTGCGTGTTGTTGCCCTTAGATTATCACTGGGTCACATTTGGATGTACCGACCCACTAAAGGTTGTTCAATGCTTTTGGAGCCTAAATCATCTGCACTTTTGATTGAGCCGTACCGATTCCAATAAACATCAATAAACCATATGTCCGGCTCACCAGGGAAAGTGGCTCACTGAAGTCTGAAAAAAATATCGCCGAAGTAATACGTGGCACCCAACAAACAGCAAAAAAGGGGAACAGTTCAGATCCGGGGACTATCAACGATCCATGTCTGTGTTATCCAAGAAAATCAAGGTCCATCGACCAAGATCTGACTCTAACCAAGAAAAATTAGGATGTTGCAAACGGAAAAAGGGATAGTATCAACAAGATCATGTCATTTGACCAACAAAAAACATGTATTTCACCAACTGGAGAATCTAACCACCATGGTGGAAATAGACAACAGGAATGGGCTAAACCTATAGTTGTGGTCATCAAGCCATCTCGAAAGCATTCTGGGCTTGGCGCTTCACTCCCGGAAACGTGGGATTAGTCTAGTTATAATTGGGGAGGTTACTGTATAACCCACTTACTAAGTGTAGTGAAGCAATAAATGTGGATCTTTTTCTGGCCATGGACAACTCGGGGAAATGAGAAACCGTAGGGACTTGGAGTATTTCTCTGAAAGGTAGCCCCAAATCTCCATCCATCCTGGTCAATCGGGACGACCTGCTGATTCCAGGATGTGAAGCTGAGAAATCCATCATTGTTGCAATCGTAAACCCATCGTTGGTTTTCCAGTACCATGTTTCATGGCTAAAGCCACATGATTAGTGGTGAAACCACCCACATGTTTGCCAACTAAACCCCAATTTGTGTTTGTTAAATCTCAATGTTTTGCTGGTCAATCATCGCTAATTAATCATGGTCAAAACTACCATATTTCATGAGTCTTTCCTGGTTCAATCATGTTAAATACATATGTTGGTTGGCTGAAACCATCATCTTGATACCTTCCGATAACCTACAGAGCTGCAACATAGCTACGGAAAGTTTCCATTTTCAATAGGTAAATCATCTACAAACGGGCAATTCTCCAGCATAGCTATATATGATTACATATGTTAGTTTGGTGGAAGGTATTTCAACCCCAACTGAAAAACCAGTTCCCCTCTGGTAATGCCATCCAACTACCATAGCTATGTAAGAAATTACCAGAGGGTACCACGAATCCAGATTGATCCCATCCGTTGATACCTTGTTGATTAATGACTATATCACCATCTGGTGGGTGGTTTTAACCATCTTGAAAAATATGAGTTCGTCAATGGGAAGGATGACATCCCATATATGAAATGGAAAATAAAAAACATGTTCCAAACCACCATCCAGCCATTAGTTCATATCTATTAGTTGATAACTATTATGATAAAATCAATCCACTCAAAAATCCTCCGTTTCTTAATATATCCGTTTCCTTCATAAATGATGAAATCCCAATTAGCTGATATTAGTTGATAACTATGATAACGATTAATAGGATTAACATGGATTAACTAATAGTTAATAGTTTTGTTGAATACAGTATCTATTTTCTTCATTATCACTGCGCTTTAATCCTTTAGTTAATAATTCATAATTGATATGGGGGGGTCCTGAAATAGGGGAACCCCCAAATCATCCATTTTAATGGGAATTTCCCTTATAAACCCATCCATTTTTGGGTACCTCCATTTTAGGAAATCCCCATGTTCCCACATTTATTACCCAGATCGTCCCAGATCATCATATCCCCACTATACCCATACCCTCTGGTAAACGTTCACATAACTATGGAAAATCACAGTTTTTCATGGGTAAATCAATTATAAATTGTCCATTTTCCGTAGCTATGTTAGTCATTACCAGAGGGTATATCCATATTAATCCCATTATCAACCACTATTCACCCATTATCAGCCACTATAGTGGGTAAATCAACTATAAATGGCCATTTATAGTGAGTTTTCCCATTAAAAATGGTGATTTTCCATAGTTGTTTGTATGTTTACCAAAGGGTACCGTGCAACGAAAAAACCCTCGAAGCGTCGCCGAGAGACGAAGGCAAAGGCCTTGACCACGGAATCCAAACGCCACCAGGCTGCGCCACCAGCTGAGCTAGGCCCTTGCACCTGCCGCTGTATTGGAGATATACAAATTCCTGGACTGTGTATAGATACTGTATATTATATGTATATATATATAATAAATACATATATATATATATATATAATAAATACATATGTATATACAAATATATTATATCACTGGGGCTTACATGGGTAATGGGATTCAATATTCATATAGATCCTCAATCACAGTAATATGAATAGAATATTGGATATAACTATTGGAGTAAGATTATTAGATATTATACTCGCAATAGTAGTAATTATTCGATAATAATAGATATTCATATAGATATGATATTTAATATCTATAGTCGGACATTCACTATCATTATTCATAGATATAATTCAAGAAATAGCAAAATTCTAATACTTCACCTGGAACGCTGCGTCATTCCAGGATGGTTCCCTATACGTTCACCATCATTTTGAGTAATGTCGATATATCATTATTTAACTTATCCAAAACTTAGGTATACACCAAATGGCAACTATCATAGTAGGGAACAATGATAAGCGGTGTTAAGTCATTTTTGCACAAGGTAAAAATCACCCTTTACTACCTGGCCATGGCTCAAAAATGGGCTACTCATGGACCCTATAACAAGTTCTGGAGTTTTTCGGTGTCATGGATTGGGGTCACAACTTGATTCAGCCAGGAGAAACTGTTCCAAGAGTCTCACAATAATAGTCTCACCATTTTGCTTGGCTAGAAAAACATCCACATTTCTGTCGGGTTCGGTCAATGTCACGGCTTTTGCTTCAATCCCAAGATGCCAAGATGCATCGTGCTTGGTTTGTGGCTTTGGTCCACTCAGCTTGGTTGATCAGCCCAGATGGCAAGTGGTGGATGTGTGTGTGTGCCCACGTTGTTGTCCATCGCTGATTCCTAAAGGCAACATACAGTCGCAACTGGCTTTTTCGATTCTCAACGCCCCAAAATGGATGGCTACCTGGCTACCCCCATTTGGATCATGTTCTTACCTTCCCAAGAAATATCAATGTGTTTTCAGTCATATTCATTGTTGGTTCAAGATAGAATCCCCATGATGAGGGAATATGGACAGCGCTACTTTGCTCCCTCAGCAATGGATAGTTGGAGTTATCCCATGTGGGTAAATGTCCCAAACTACTAAACCATGGTTGCTTGGGAGTGTTTAGTATCATAGGCACCAGATTTATTGGGGATATCGGGATTATTCTCCATTATATCTAATCATATTTCCTTGTATATCCCTGTATTATATTCCAACAATTGTTGGTAAAATCCCCATTCAAGTTGGTGAAATTCCAATTTTGCTAGCATAAATCCCTAGTTGCTGGGTAAATCCCCATATTTCTTGGAGGAAATTCCCATATTTGCTGGGCAAATCCTCATATTTCTTGGTTAAACACCCATATGTTCCCCTGTTTTAACCCATTTCTGCGACCCAAATCCACCAGCCAAGGCAGCCCCGCGCAAGGCCGCCGCGCCTTCTTCGCAGCCCTCTCGGCAGCGCGCCGTGCGTCGTTGGCGCCCTCAATGCGGCGCCGCTTCTCGCCTTCCTGCGAGGTGGATTTTGCAAAGAGCATTGCGTTTTTTTATAGGGAAAATACATAAAAATATGAAGAAACACACAGGATTCTTGAATTATAGGGAACATATATGAACATATAGGAAACATATTAAAAATTGTGGAAAATGATAGGGAACAGATTGGACAATGTGGAAAGTTATAGGGCACATACTATAAAATATGATAACATATGGGTCAACATATGGGAAAATGAGGATTGACACCAGCCAGACAAATTGGACTTAAGCAATAAATGATGGAAGGGAGAACTAGAATTTCAGCCAGAAGAGTGCGGATTTGGCCAACCCAACCGATACTGTAATTCAACCAATAAAAATCTGGATCTAGCCAAGAGAAATATAGATAAATATATATATATATAGATAAATATAGATAAATATAGATAAATATAGATAAATATAGATAAATGCTCAAATGGCATATCAAGGAGGAATCGAACCAGTCAAATCATTTGATTCTCACTTCATATTGACGTCCCCATTCAGCCTCAGGTCATGCCCAATTTGGGGATTCACCCCGCAAAGACCGGCCGGACGTGTCCAGACTCGACATCGCAAGACCAAAAAAAACTTTCGCAAAGCCCTAAAACAACATATTGAAAATCCAGGGAAACATGTCTCAAAAAAGATGTGTACCCTCTGGTTATTTAACATAGCCATGGAAAATGGCCCATAGAAATAGATGGTTTACCGTTCCTATAAAATGGATGTGTGATTTTCCATGGCAAACTGTAACTTAAATAACCAGATATCGTATAATATTAGTTATTTAATTACATAATATACCCTCTGGTAAACTAACATAGCAATGGAAAATTGCCATTTATAGTGGATGTTCCCATGAAAAGGGTGTGATGTTCCATTGCTATGTTAGTTCACCAGAGGGTACATAATATATAACATGGATCCCATCAATATACCCCATATACCGAGTCCTCGGTCATCCACTCAAATTGCCAGCCATGACGGGCACACAGCGCCCTGCTGCTGGTGGCGCCAACGCCATGTTTACCATGGGCCATGTCACATGGGGATTCGTTTTGCTGTGACAGAGGGGACTTACCCTCTGGTAAACTAACATAACTATGGAAAATCACCATTTTTAATAGGTAAGCCGGTAAGCCATCTATAAATGGGCCATTTCCCATGGCTATGTTAAATAACCAGAGGGTAACTATAGTAAAATCTAGGCTGTTCAGCAGCAAATGGGGATTTTACTGGAAATGACATGGAAATTAGATGAAATTAGGCCAAATATAAGGTATAAGACCAACCATACGTCTACCATTAACGAGTACCTAATGTAAATATAGTTAAATTTGGAACTTTGAGTATTCTATGGTTTTATCCAGTCAACAAGTTAAATCGGAACTCGATTTTCGGGTCTCCACTCTGCCAACCCACCTAGGCGCCTTGGGCAGGACCATAATGTACCATATTACAATCATAAAACCCCACTGCTTGGGAGGTTTTGATGTTTCGCACCTTGAAAGAACCTTTTTTTCGACATTCCGCCAGAATCACGACTATTTTTGATGAAGTACAGAATCCAAGCCTCACTGAAGCCTCACTGAAGCCTGTCTCTCTCTCTCTCTCTCTAAAGAAAATATCAGGGTAATGGGTATTCCAGCCAATTTTTCCTTGATTTCGGAAATTGGGTACTCCAAGACACCATGCATACTCATCATGGTCAATCATCATTTTCCCCATGACAATTGCCATAATCTGGAAGTAAATCCCCTACTTTCAGACACACCCACATCATGTTGTTGGTTTATGTAATATTATGTTATTATGTAATCTGGTGGTATACCTACCCCTCTGAAAAATATGAAAGTCAGCTGGGATGATGACATTCCCACTATATGGAAAAATAAAAAATGTTCCAAACCACCAACCAGTTAATTATAACTGTATAACGTCTCCGCATCTGTGGTCCTTTTCAAACCTCCAAAGCCCGCAGGCCTCAATCGTGACTCATCCCAATCTTCGGGTTCCACCGAGATAGCGCCCTGCGCGATGGAGGATCTGACTGACCCTTTTTCTGGCCATAAAAGGATGGAAAAGATGGGAAAAATGATGATGAACTTGGATTTCAGGGCTGTCCCATTTTCAGACACACCCATATGACCCCAAAAAAAAATGGCTAGGTGGATGTTAATGGTGGTTTATATAATTGCCAGCGAAAACGGGGGTAGATATGAACGCTGTCTAGAAGGTTCTGTATATCTGGGGTTGACCAACAGTATTGGGGCAAGGAAAGCTTAAAGAAAAGAACAGCTGTCTTAAAGGTCGAGTTAAAGTTGGGGCTTCACCAACGATTCAGGGAGTTGAAGCAACTCCGGCGCCTTGAAGGGTGGGAATGGAAGAATCGCTAGTGACCATTGGGAGGTTTCCCAAGTCATATGGCTACCCCCAGTTATCATCCATTCTTGTTTCGGATTTTCCATTGTAAATCATCCATTTGGAGTACAGTGAAACCACTGTTTAAGAACCTACTGCAATGAGAACTTCAGGGGCTGGATTGCTGGATTCAACCCTTTCTGTCAGCTAATTGAAATAAGAACCCTAGGGTACCCTGGAATTCTAGCCACTGATTCTTATTCCCCTTTAACCGGTATCAATATACCAAACATTGGTTATTGATATATGAAAGCAAGAAGCAAGCACGCAAGAAGCAAGCAACAATCGCTAGCGCCACAGGGGCTCGAACCGTAACACGCTTAGCAAGTCTGAACACGACAGCCTCCTTTGCAAACCTAATACCGCGCCACAATGAACTTTCAATCCCTGGCATGGTGGAAAGTGTGGCCTTTGCTCTGGTTGGAATGCATGCACCTGGAAAAACTTTTCGGGACCTAACAAGTTTTTTTTCTTCCCCCCGCCTCCTTTGCAACCTACCACGCCAAAATGAACTTTCAATCCCTGGCATGGTTCTTCTTCGCGCTTCGCTGCTTGCAGAGCTGTCTCTGGAGGAACTATCTCCACATAATTCTAAATTGGGAAATTACTAAGAATTTGCAAACCCTCACCATATGAACCCCTGAAGAACTAACCCGTTAAGAACTTGAGGGTACCCTCGTTCATAATTCCCATATTTTCCACCTATAGCACTTAAGAACCGTGGGGTACGCTGGAAAATTCTTAATCGGTTCTTATCGAACGGTTCCGCTGTACCCCTATTTTAGGAAACCTCCATATGATTGATACAATCCTCACATTCCTTGGGCCCCAAGGGCATATGACAACTCACATGGCAACGGCATTCCTCCGCTCTGTTGCACCCCAATTGAAACTGATCATCTGCCTCTTGAACGCGAGAAATGACATGAAAATATAGGCATCCCCAAAATAGATGGAAAAGAAAATCATCATCAAATCAGTATAAGATTAACTTGTCCATCTGTTTGGAGATGACAACATGTTTTCTCTTGTGTAACCATCTCTGTCTCTTTCGGAAAGCTAAAACCATTGGAAACAGAAAAAAGTGTTTTGAAGTCGTCTCCCGAAATAGGGATACATAAGCCCATTGGTTTCCCCATGAACGTGACCGTAAACCGCCCTGTTTGATGGAAATCCCAATCTCTTAAGTCAAAACGCCACATAATCCACATGTTTGATGCTTTAAACCATGTAAAAAACCATGTAAAAAACATAAACACCCTGTTGAACCCCACGTTTCACGCCCTGTTGATGGACATCCCGGCCCCCGGTCGCGGAATCCGCCGCCCGACCTCGGGACCTCGCGCCATCTGTGTGGCGGACAGCCACTTGTCGGCCAGACTTTCGATGACCGACTCGTCCGGCCTGGGGCGGTGGTGGTTCATATATTCATATATAGATGTTATGATATAATTAATCATTCATATATATATATAATTATAGAATTATAGATATTCATAGAGATATAGATATTAACTTATTCAATAGGATTTATATGGATTTATAAACCAACACACGACTATTCCTATGGGGGGTTCCTAAGTCATGGGGGATCCCCAATAGTTGGTTGATTTCATGAAAAATCCGAAAACTGGATGATGACTGGGGGTACCCCCATGACTCAGGAAACCTCCATTTATTGTGGGATGTTCATGGGATTTTCTGGGAATATAATGGAATATCAGCGGATTAGCAAAAGCCCAAAAGCTACCCCCCAATATCAAAATATTTCACAACACTGCTTTCCCCCAAAAGGTCGAGACGACTACTTAGGTGTGATACCTGCACAATTTTGGAGGGGAAAAAAAACAAATCCAGTGCTGGATCATCATGTTGGCAATGTTTTCATGGCCACACCTGCGGGGTCTACCCTATTTTCAAACGCATCCACAAGTTTCTTGGTGGTTCACAACGACCATCTTTTGTGGTTAAATCATTCAAAATCTCCTAAGGGACAACAAGGTTTTTGGTACTGGGGTGAACAACTACTAAGTACCTTGAGACCCAGAAGGTTGACTTGAATTGGTCGGCTTGGGAGTGTCAAAAGTTACTGTGGTCAGTCCAGTGTTGGGACTGTAGAACCAGATTTGACCAAACTATACACGTTCATTGTCACAAATGGGAATGTTGGGTAACCGACACTGTCGCAGTCATACCTTTTCCTGTCATATCCGCATTCGTTGCTGGTTACGGCAAGAGTGTTTGCTGGCTACACTGACCGAACCAAACTCCCAGTTTTCTTGTTGAAACCACCGACCAAGTCAGAGTCATCTTGCGCCTTTATATTGTCAACTGACTCTCATGCTAATTCAACAATTTCCTTCTTCACCCAAAACATACGATATGTTCCATCCAACCTATCCGGCCGAATTATAATAGTTCACTAACCTACTGTAACATTGCTGACAGCAGGAAATCTTGGTGATGATTCCCCTTACTAATCATCATTCCAGTGACGTCGCGACGTGGGGGGATTTTAATTCATCCTTTTCCTCCAAGCGAGGAGGTCCTGCGGCCAACTACGAAAGTGAACCAAAGGCCTTTGGCCAAGTACCAGGTGGATCTACCTGGGGGATCATCTTTCATGGAACTCTGTCATACCTGTCGCCCCCCAAAAGAGTGGTGATGATGGTTTGCAATTTTCACCCAGGAAAAGGGGAAAAGGCCAGTGCAAAATTGACGTAGATAATCCAACTATAGATACATCCGTTGTTTTTTTGTTGACCTAGTTATAAACCAACAAACCATAACAAACCTGTTCTGAACGGGGTCATCCATCCTGTTGGTGAATCCCAACTGGGCAAATCACATGGAACTGCGAAAACTGCTGGTTACTGCAATATGCCCATGGAATCTCCCCAGATTTGTTCGGTAAATCCCCATTTTGCTTGTTAAAATTTCAAAATATGAGCATATCATGTTTTTGGTTGGTAGTTCTGCCGTTACACCCCCATATTATCAATTACTTTTTGTATACCCATTAATCCAGTATTGTTGGTAGCAATTCACCATGCTTGACCATTATAATCCGGATTGTCGGTTTTGTCCCCATTGCGTCCCCATTCTATCATCATAATTTACTTGCATCCAATAAACTATTCTGGAAAATCCACCATGGCTATATCATCTCTTCATTATATTTCCATTTTATCATTATACGTTCCCCATATATATATATCCCCAATAATACTTATATCCCACATTTGCTGGTCAAATCCCTATGTTGGCTGGGTAGGAACCGTATATAACTTATATAACCATTTTAACCCACATTGATGGTTACATTCCCAAGATGTCCCAAGTATATTCCCATTCATTTTCCATTGGTTATCCATTCATTATCCATTAACTAGCCATTAGTGACCCATTGATTAGCCATTGATTAGACGTCAACCATTGCTAGCCACTGATTATCACGACTATCCCCATTAATCCTGTGGGTACGTATGGTACGGATGCAGTACCATTACATCCCAATTGTATCCTCATTGGTGTTCCATTATAGTAGTTGATAATCCATTGCTTGTCTTTACTATCCATTATATCATTCTGATATATCCATTAGTATCCCATTAAATCGCCATTTTTGTTGGTTAATTTCATATCCCCATTATATATATCTCCCGTATTTGTTGGTTAAATCCCCAGCTGGTTAAAACCATAGATCCCCATTCTAATCCACATTGTTGGTGATAATCCCCATGATATCCGCATCATATCCCCATGATATTCCCATTATATCACTATAATATCACCATGATATTCCCATTATATCGCTATAATATCAGCATTATAGTCCAATTATATTCCCAAATCCTATCATACTCCAATTATAATTTCACCGTCAAGGCACGTGCTCTTGGAATCGGGCGTCACCAGGGCGAAGACCCCCCAGCGGCTGTCGGGGCTGTGGCGCCCATCGCCGTCGGTGACCCAGCGCAGCTCAATGCCTGGGGGCAACAATTTACAGAAGAAGTACGATACGTAAGAAGTATATATGTATTGTCTATTACTGGTTGGTGGTATACCTACCCCTCTGAAAAATATGAAAGTCAGTTGGGATGGTGACATTCCCAATTTATGGAAAAATAGAAAATGTTCCAAATCACCAACCAGGCATTGTCTATTGGTATTTACGTAGGCATGTATGTATCTATGGATCTATGGATCTATACATATATATATATATGTATGGATGGATGATGAATGGATAAACGGATGAACGGATGCATGAATGAATGGATGAATGGATGCATGGATGCATGGATGCATGGATTCATGCATGCATGCATGCATGCATGGATGGATGGATGGATGGATGGATGGACAATGGTGGTTGATTAATAGAGAAAGATAGAGATGGAGATAGAGGTAGAGATGGAGATGCAGATCGGGAAAAAGATTGTCATAGAAACAAAGATAGAGATAGAGGTAGAAAAAGAAATGTACAACGATAGAGACAGGCATAGAGATAGA